ACTTCCAGAGTCTCCGGTGCCCCCGAAAGCATACGTTCTGCAGATAGGGCAGTAGCATTCGCAGAAGTTAGATTCTACGTGAGCAGATACGTAATCCGCGTCTTCTAAAAGGTCCTCGTAAGCCCACTTCTGGACTTTTGTTTACGGGTTTTCTGTTTGGTAGGCCACCCGACTTTCCTAATTCCACGTGAGAACCCTATTCCTCAGAAGTTAAATTTCGAATTTCGTTCTCTCGAAACTTACAGGGAAATTGGCGACCACTGTGAGGCCAACGATACCCAGTATGCCAATGTACATGAACACCAAGGACACCCATCGCCATGTTGTTTCCTCCCAATGTAGACGATGTCCATAGTACTCGACCGTTTGCCGATGTCGTATGTAGCATGTGAGAACTCCTACAACGATGAATCAAGTATTGAGCGGTACTGTAAACCCTGATTCAGGATTACCGGGAATTCGCAGGTTCTCTAGGAAACGACTTAACTTACCGAAGAATGAGGCCATGTTCAGGAATTGTGCAAAAATGCATCCTTCCGGTGGGAATGATCCGCCGTTACTGAAAAAAACTGCCTAACTAGTAGGTAATGGGAAAGAACAGAGCGTAAACGCGTTTTTCCTTAATTAACTCAAGGATGAGAGGTAATGTTTTAACAAAAGTGTAGGGGAGGGCGTTGTGCTTGAGTGGCACGCCGAGTTGCGAGTCAACTAACCAGTACACCTAACGAAGCATGGTCCATGGTGAGTCAACTAGCTAATATTCGAAAAGCGCCAGTAAATAAACAGGGTGACGTCACCCACCCTCACCGGATTCTTTCGTTACTTTTTAAGTTTTTTTTAAGAAGAGGTTAGCACGTCCGGACAGCCATCAGATATCATGCTGATACTCTGTGCCTATTCGCTCATTGAGAAAGGTACCTTCTGAATGTAGACCTACCTTATAAACGGCAGCAATACTGGAAAGTGCTTGGTCACGGCTCCAATGATATACCTTAACTGCTAAATCTGAGTTAATGAAAAAAGTTCACGAAATCGTTATCATTAATCAATAATCACCTGAGAACTAAGTTTTGAAGAGATCACACTTACCCGCTGAACATTCCAGCAAGCAGTAATCCCACTGCTATGACTGGCACTGTCCAAACGTGCCGAATAACCATCGTTGGATTATCCTCGATATGAACATAAAGGTAGCCACTAATTCATTGACTGAAAGATTGAATATAAAATAACTGGAAGTTCCCGGATTGCATTTTCGGGAAGAATATCGAGGGAGTAGTGAAGAAGACAAAGAACATCCGGTTCCGCACTCACCTTTCCGACACTGCTGTCCTTCCTACTTTGACGCACGACTCGGAGACTTGGACACTACGAAACCGGGATAAACATGCAGTTAGGGTCATTCAATGCGCTGTGGGAAGGCTGATACTCGAAATTTCTCTATGCACGCATGTGCAGAAGTGATTCCGGACCTTCGAGCCCCGCCAACGAACGAGGATGAGGAATGCAGATGTTTATGCCAAGGAATCGAAGATCAGGTGAGCCCGACACGTTATGCAATACCGTGATGACCGTTGGACAAGAGCGCTTTCTGACGATCCCTAGACTATCTTAGGTTGCCCTGAGGACGAATGGAGACGTTATTGGCTTCAAGAAATCAATGATTAGCGGGACGGCAGGTGACATTGGGTAATACACGTGAACTAAGGAAGAGGATGAAGAAGGAAGTCGGCAAGGATGGGCAGAAGGCATCAGTAGTTTTAGTGAGCATTATAAGAACTATTCGGATGAGATGCTCCCGCTCTGGAGCCCAACTACCCACAGAGACGAAATTCGTCTTAGAACTTTTTTTACCATAGCTATAAAGTGATAGCTACAAGTAAAGCCCACGATTGTTCCATTTATTGGATGTAATAAATTTTTTTAGAAGCAAGAGCTGAGCGTTTAAAGTAAACACTTAAGGCAGATTGCCTTGCCGGGATCGTCTTACCTTTTGGTTTGCTCCAGGATGGCCAGATGTTGTAGCGAACCCGGACACTGAAGAAACTTTTGTGGAGAATAATATCAGCGATTGTTTTCTTTTTACGATGACAGCTCATGCTTTTCAGTCATTCAACGCCATCATTATGTGCTGTTATGGTGTGCTGAAGTGTGTGTCAGTCCTAACAAAAAAGCTCATCACCTCATCCTTGCACATATTAATTTTCAGAAAAAGACGCTCACGCGATATCAATCAGAACGGCTTGCTAGTGGGGTAGTTTGAAGTAAGTAAGTAGCACCTCAGTAAATCTTGATAAAAATTGTGCTATTCTGAGATCTGGGCGATGCTGCGCCAAACGGACTACCAACACATGAATAATCCTGGATTAGATTCCGAATGGACAACCGCCCGCTCGGGCAAACCAAGCTTCCTTCCCTTCCTGGTCAATTAACTGGTACCATGCTCGTGTGGAAGGGGTAGAGGGGTAGGGTTCACATGAACATGGGCTGGCCAAGTCATTGTTAGGCCATCTACGTATTCAAAGGCGACTACAATTTCGAATAGAAGTTGGATGTGAGGGCGCATCCCAAATCAGGATTGATTAAAGCCAGAAA